ATTATGTGGTCAAAAAATATAATGGAAGTTAATGAGAATTGAAACTGCTTGGTTACTAACATTTTTTAAAATATCTTTTGTGTTCCCCACAATGGTGGTGAGTAAATAATTACAGAATTTTCATTTTTGGGTGAATTGTCCCTTTAAGTATGGACTTGAGCAGATGACAACACCTCCTCAGAGACTTGGGGGGAAAAAATCGTTTAACGTTGCTTATTGTCCTTCATTGTTAGACTAGCAGTTCCCAAACAGTGCACAGCCACACAACAAGAAAAGTTTAGTGAAAAAAAATATCAACACTTCCAGCCGGGGCGGATTTAGTGATTTGGGGGCCCCAGGCAAAATATAGGAATCGGGCCCTATATATTTGCACAAATTAAAAAATTTGATGAGATGAAAAGAGATGAGGTGGAAGTATAAATTATGATATTAATTTAAAATGGGGTTATGGGGGTGGATTTTCGCATTGGTCTGAACAAAAACTGCAGATGGGATTATTGAAAATGCACATTCATTCTCTGCCAGCAGGAGGTGCTTTTGGAACATCAGAAATACAGTGGTTTCCCCGGTAACGGCTGTAAACAAAGCAGTGCTCCACTCATAAATGCTACTTTATCAGATAAAAGTCGGTACCATTCAGAGATTCATTCATATAAAAACTTGAATTAGTGAGAATGAGAAAAATATAGCCTATATTGAGGAGGAAAGTCCACTGATGAGTTACCAGCATAAGCCTGTGTGCCAAAGGTTGTCTAATTCTAAACTTTAAAATACACTTATTTTAACTACAAATTTAAATGAAAATGAAAAAATAATGAAATGGAAATTATACATTTACACACCTAAGGATTATATCAACCAAACAAGTAACTGCAAATGCGTCCTCTACTTGGGTCCTTCTCATAAATGAGTAAATGGCATTTAAAACAATAAACATATAATATGCACTGTTGCGCAATATTTAATTACAGCTTCAGATACATGATATTTTCATTTGCTACAAGCAGGATACACGAGAAGTGTGTTCAACTCGGTTGTCGTGGTGATAAACACTGTAAAAAGCAACCATTCTCATGTCAGCGCTTAATGCGCATCTCGTATATGAAAAGCATTTTAGGGGGCCCTTGGCTTTTGGGGGCCCAAGGCGGTCACCTACCTTTGCCTAATGGGTAAGTCCGCCTCTGCTTACGTCTCAATGTTAGGTTCAGAAATAGACTCGGATGTCATTTTTTTGGGTTTGTACACAGAAAATCTCATTATGTCAACCTACTTGAGTAGCTCAGGTAGCTGTAGAGATGTTGGCACTCAGTGAGTCCAGACTGGGACACCTCGCAGTCCTTCCACAGGCCCTTATAATGGTGGATGGAAGTTGCCTGGTGCTCCTGCTGGTCTTCAGTGCACCAAACATCCATAACTGTGGCAGCAAGAACTCCAACTGTACCGATGGCGCCTGCTACAAAACCTGTGGTCTGCAGTGCTGTGGCACTCATTCTGCTTCTGTCTTCGTTTCTTGTTTAGGATCTTGTGAAGTTCGTGGTGACAAGTGTTGAGCTTTACTGAGGTTTGACAGGTGAGACTGCTTTTTAAAGTGTGAAGGCTCACACGCACACTCATGAAGTGATGCTTGTGATAAGCATTGAGTTGTCATAGTTCCACCTACTTTTCAACAGAAATATAAAAGGAGTACTAAAAAGAGTCATCATAAGCACCATCTGTCTGAGCACTAACACAAATTATCCCTGAGGTCACTTGATGTGTAATATCTAAGAACAGTTCAGACAGGCCTTACAATGCACACCTAATTATTAGATCAATTTGACTTGGTGAGTAAACTGTTCGTTCAAGATGAAGTCTTTTCTTTGCCTTTTCTTCACCTCTGATTGTTCCTCTGCTTAATACTTCACCATTACTGATGCACGAAGAATCAGCAGATGATGAGAGAGTCTGATAACAATGAGTAATTAATGACATTTGTGAGGACAGCCAAGAAAATGTGAGACATTTGGGGAATGGGCAAGGATTAAAAAATGTTTTATAGCATTTAATTGCATGTGGTGTGGTAAGGTGCATGTGATAAGATGTATAGTACTGTACATCATCCAATAAATTATGAAAAAACAATGAACACCTTCATGATTGTGCATGATATCATGTAGTTGTAGCTTGTTTATTATAGTTCATCATTTGGATATGTTCCAGGATATTTGGATATGTTATATATAAAGTTCTTTAGAGAGAAATTATGTTATTTGAGCTATATATATATATATATATATATATATATATATATATATATACACACACACAT